AAACCCACTATATAAATAGTGGACATCCAATTGCAGCAGCGTAGCATCTGATCTCGTGTAAATCCCAGTGTTGACCATAAATACATGTGCATGCTGAATAAAATTAAAATAAAATAAAATCATTGTAAATACAAAGTTAATCTTGAAGTGAGACTGAGAAACCCCAACTCCAGGAAATAAAGAGGGAACGAACCTAGTTCTACAAATGGAGCCTCAGCTGCACAGAGGGAGTTGGGCCATGGGCATCAGTACTCATGGCCTGGGGCTGGGATTTCTGTGCCCATGCAGGAATCAGAGGTGAAGCTTTAAGGTGGGGTGTGCTTCATGTGAAGCAGGGAGCCAGGACTGAAGGCCCTGCCTAAAGGTGGAGACTTGCAAGGGCTGCCTTCTCTATTTAACAGGGAGTAGAAAAACCACCCATCAACCAAAGGAAGCAGTAAGGAAGTTCATTCCAGCGTGGGGTTCTGTGTGGGATATGAAAAGTCTCTCTCAAGAAATCAGAGCCAAGGTCTGTGCCGCACACCGATGTAGATCTAAATTTAAATGTCTTATATGACAAGAGAATCCTAGAAAAATAAAATAGAAACTGGATCAAGACCACAAAAATCTATGAAGTCCTAGCAAATGTAATTTTAAAAATCCGTGGAGGGAAATATCCACAACCTGGCATGCATAGGCCTTCTACCGAAAACAATAACCCTCTTTAAAAAAAAAAAAAAGCTTCCAATAAAACTTACTAACCATTTGAGTCAATGAACCACCCCATAAAGGAAAAACAGACTCAACCAACAGCAGGATTAGCAGTTTCAATAATTTTAAGTAATGGAACAATCTGAAGAAACCATAAAATGAGTATGTTGAGAATCATTAAGTAAATTTAAAGGTAAAAATTATAATGAGGGAGAACAGGCAATATTGAAGGGGAACCAAATAGAAATTCTAGAAATGAAAAAACATAGTCATAGAGATTTAAAATTGAATGAGTACATTAAACATCAAATTTAAAAACACAGTTGAAGAGAGAACTCAGGTAGAAATGGGAAGTATATAAATAGAATGCAGAAGCTCCCCTGGGAGTTCCAGAAGAAAATATGGGGAGAAACAAGCATTTAAAAGCGGGTGCATGAGAATTTTATAGAATTATTGAAGACAAAAGTCCTTAGATTCAAGAATCACAGATCCAAAAAAAAAAAATCAGTGTAAATGTTGGTCTTGATACAGCCAACCACTGGAAAGTCTTTTAAATCAGACAGAGAAGACAGATTTTCTACAAAGAAGAACAGTTAGGTGGGCAGCAGATTTCTCACTGGCTAGGAATATCTTGAAAGTGCCAAGAGAAGATAACAGTCTATCTAGAATTTTCTGCCCAACCAATTTTTCAAGATTCTGCTTTCTGCAAACACCTAAATATAAATCAGACAAGATATAATCCTACTAGTAAGTTACATATTTAATAAAAACAATGATTTATGCCCAACTGGAAGGTATAACCACCATAGGAGAGACTACTTTGGAATAAATAAAATGGCTCCCCAGCAGGGTGTTAAGGGCCACACATAAAATTCATTCATTGTATTATTGGTCAAGTTCCTGTAGGCAAGTAGGCAAGTTACGTAGCAAAGAAGCTCCATCCATTCAGACATACACATTGTGCTGCAGGAGATTATCAGTGAGATTCATTTTATAGATACGAGACTCTTAAAATATCGCCTGGCCGGGCGTGGCTCAGAGGTTGAGCGTCGACCTAGCATCCAGGCGATCAGGGTTCGATTCCCAGTCAGGGCACATGCCCAAGTTGTGGGCTCGATCAATGACTCTCTCATCATTGATGTTTCTCTCTCTCTCTCCCTCTCCTTTTCTCTCTGTGAAATCAATAAAAATATTAAAAAAAAAAAAAAAGACTTAAAATATCGTAGAATCTTTAGAGTATTTACAATTCATGGTCACTAGGAGAGTGACCATGAAAATCTTTTGGTCCCACATTAAGGCTCACCGGTTATAAGGTGGAAAAGTACCTGAAATAGAGTTACACATTTTTTTTTCGAAAAAGGTTTTCCTAATCTATGACCTTTCTGTGATGACAAGTGTCCATGAGTAGTAAGCCTCCAGATGCTTTCAAGATAATAAACACAATCATCTTAAGGAGAACATTTGAAAGCAGTTATTTGGAAATGTTTTCATTGTCATAGTATTGCCAATAATGATACCGCCTATTAAAACAATAACATGTGCACACCTTTAAAACTCGGAAACAGAATTTTTCTGTTAAATATCATCCAGATTAAGAGTTACAGTGTGTTTAAATGCACTTAAGGCAACATATTCTGATTGATATGCATGAGTGATTGACATTAGAGAAGATGGAAATCAGTGGCTTTGTTTCAACAAAAACCTTCCCAAACAGGTAGATGGCATTAAGATATGAGCGTTGTGATTCAGTGAGCACAGCCACACTGTACTTCCTCAACTGGGATTTATGTAACTGAGTAAGAACCTCCCTTCTTAAAACAAACTGAATTTTTTATATTCATTTATTTTTAATGTATATGTTTGTGTAGATTTTATAATGTATGTAATTTATTATATGTTATAAATACATATACAAATATCACAAACAATTCTACATATGTTAAGGCAGCGATTTTCAACCGTGTGCCACAAGAATTTTTAAAACATACAATACCTGACTAATTAGTCAGGGGCACTGACCTCCTTTCCCTTAGGTTGTCAAATAAAAAAATGACAACGGCCAACACAACAATAGCCATCTGGTGTGAATGAATCAGAATTATACCTATTTTTTGTCACATCAGAATAAATATATTTTTTGATGTGCCCCAGAATTTTAGTAATTAGTTTACGTGTGCCATGAGATGAAAAGGTTGAAAATCGCTGTGTTAAGGGATAGGTACTCAAGATATTTTTAAAGATGCGCTGTGCCCAGTTTTAGTTTGGAGATTACTGGTCTATACCAGTGTTTCTCAAACTCTGGGGAATGGGGAACCACCTTAGGAAAGCTCACGTAAAATGCAGATGTCTGGGTCCTAACCTGGACCTGCGAATCTTCACCTCGGGGCCTGGGGCCATGCTCGGATATCTCTGACAAGCTCCCTTCCAATTCTGATGAGCACCAGGGCTTGAGAACCATCTTCTCGAATAAAGTCCAACTCCATGGCAGGACATTCAAAGTCCCACCATAGCCCCGGCCTACCTTGCTGTTCTCATCTGTATCATTCCCCCCCACGGAAAGGCTGGAGCCACAGAAACTACTCCTCTCCCCCATCCCCATTGCTCAGCACAGTGCCCAGCAGGAGGTCAGGGTTCAAGAAATACTCCAACTCCTATCGACAAGGTGCCCAGCTCGGACTCGCCTCTGCATTCTGCATGTGCGGTTGCCACCTTCTGAAATTTCTTCCCAGTTTCCCCCAATCCTTCCTTCTCCGTTTAAATGCTGTGTCCCTCTGTAACTCACCTCTTCCCGCACCCTTGCTGTATGACTTACCATACTGTATTTGTTTGTTCTGTGCATACCCCTCTTTAAACTAGGAGCTTTATGAGGATTCGAGAGACTCATTCTTGCGCGCACCGTTCCCTACCCAACCCAGCCGCTTTCTCTGCTCCTTCCCCTGCCCTGCCTGCCCAGCCTCTGGAACGTGGGGTAGGAGCAATAAGCTTAGCTCTGGGGACAAATGGAAACAAAATGGAAGAGATAGTAGGGGGATTTGAGATTTTTTTAATATTTTCAAAGTCCAGTTAAATGGAGAATCAGGGTTCCATTCCATTCTGCATAGGAATATTCAGATGCCTGGGACCAAACTGAGACCTTACTACTTTTCATTATAGGCTCTTTAGATTTTATTTTGAAAAGACTGTTAATGTTGGAGAATGAGATTCTTAGATAAGTAGTTTTTTAAATAGATTCCTTAGAAGTATATTAACTACAACTCTCGACATTTTAATGCAGTGGGGTTCTAAAACCTGGAAATGTTAACTTCGTATAATGTTTTTCAATTTTATTTTATAATTTGTATGTAATATGTTCCTGTTATCTTTCAACTGTCTTTTACTGAACATCTTCTCCCTTATCCTTGTGTTAAGCAGTTTCAGCTAAGGAAAGAAGAGTACTGATGTGTTAAAAAGACTTGCCCAAAATTATATATGAGTGGTATCAACACCAAGCTTCCTCTCTTGCCCCATTCTTGAATGCAGAACTCCACTTCTCTGCCATGAGATACCCTGATCCACCCCCAAAGCCAGGACTGTTCCACCGAATCACATACAATCCATAGTGTCTTTTCTCTGCCTATTTGTACCCCCTTTCTTGCTCCATAGGTCTCACATTTTTCTGTTTTCAGTGACACAACTGAGTCCTGCCATGGGCCCTGTCAACCTTGGAGAGCCCAGAGAACAGAGTTTTCTGGCCCCAAAAAATATCACTGTTGGAGATCTTCCCAAAAATATTTTTTAATAACAATATAGATGAGCTGTGGATTTTGGTGCTTCCCATGGCTCACTGGGAATTTGCTGGTGGTTTCTCTTAAAGGTCAAGAGGAAACTACAGAAAAGGTCACTCACTTTGATATCTGATATTTATGTCTGATAACTTTGCTGTTCACATGGACAGTTTTTTCAGATCTAAGGGGTATATGGAAATTTTAGATGTCACAGGCTCATGGATGTTTCTCCCATATAATAATTATTATTATATACTGATAATATATTTACAATATATAATACATAGTATAATGTTTATAATAAATTTATAATTTATTTATTTAGCACTTTGGTTGTTCCAGGTGCTGTGATAAGCACCTTACAGAGATTATCTGTCTCCATCCTCACAAAAGCCCTGTGAGTGGGAAGCTATTGCTCTTCCCATCACACAGACAGTGCACATGGACCGGACAGGTGAAGTGTCTTTCCCTGGGTCACACGTCCAGAGAGTAACAGAGCCAGAGTGTGGCCCCAGGCGGTCTAACGCGAGCTTTGCATTAAGCTCTACATCTCAGAGCAAAACCCCGTTTCTAGTTTTTAGACATGACTTGGCAATTTGCAAATTGTTTTTAAAAATAAAGCATATGTTGTTTGCAAGAGCATCTTGATCTGCTTGAAATTTGCGATGTTTCCTACATTTCTGGATGGTTGTTTCAATGCTTCCCATACTTTCATTTGCAGGCCCAAGAAGCTAATGTTAAAAGCTTTCAAACAATATTGGTTCGTCTTTAAAGACACATCTATAGCCTACTTTAAAAATAAGGAACTCGAACAAGGAGAACCAATAGAAAAATTAAATCTGAGAGGTAAGGCGGGCTCTACATCTTGCTGTGGCTTGTCATGGCCCAGGAGGCCGACGAAAGCCAAGGCCCTACCCGCGGAAGGGAGGTTATTTCCAGGGTGTCACTGTTCAAATCGGCGCCTGCCTGCAGCTCAGTTCCCATGGCACCTAGAACTGGAGCAGGGTTTAGTCAACACAGTTATTTCTATTCTGCTCTTTCTTCTTTCCCAGTGTGTCCAAGTCTATGAGGTGGAGGTAACTGGCATCATAAGTATAATACATTGTGGGATCCTGAAGAGCTTTCTGAATTCTAGAATAGTTACACTTAACTCAGTGTCACTTTAGTGCCCATTCTAACTTCTGAAAGCGACTGTAAGTGTACTAACAACTCCTTAAGCTGAAATATTTTATTAACCAGGACACTCAATGCCCTTATCACTGTGGCAATCAGAGAATCTCCAGTGCTTTGGTTTATTTTAAAGTTCATATTCATAATTGTTCCTATAGGTTAAGATAGCCAAATCAATCTCAAAAATCAATTCAGTTGATGACATATTTTTAAAAATCATAAAAGAAAAATATTTTTCTCTATCCATGTTAATTGTAAGTCTTAGTTACCCTTTAATTAGTGTTATTGGCTTGCTCCGTTTTTCTGAAGAAAAGCATATCAGAGGGGCTTATGTGCAAAGTCTTTACTTTAGATGCACATCTGATATCTATATAATACATTCTTCAGAACTCGGCTGTGACCCCACCTTTTGTTATTCAGGCTGTGAAATTGTGCCAGATGTAAATGTAGCAGGAAGAAAATTTGGAATCAAGTTATTAATCCCTGTTGCTGATGGTATGAATGAAGTGTACCTGAGATGTGACCACGTAAGTAAAACCATAAAAATGTTCAGTTATTCTACCTAAGGACAAACCATCTGAGGTGTTTTCTCAAATGAGAACACTGTTGTATCAGTCAGCTATTGCTTTGTAACAACCAACCACAAAAATCACAGTGACATATACCAACAAACACTTGTTTCTGAAATATCTGCCGCTAGGCTGGGGGTGGATGATCCAGGCTGGTGTCAGCTGGGAAGACCTGGCTAAGCTTGGCTCCTCCCTGCAGGTTGAGCTCATTGTATTTATTCTGGGTCCCAGGCTGCCTGGGGAGGCTCTTCTCACAGTGATGGCAGAAATGCCAGAAAGCAGCTGGAAACATGCGAGACCTCCTAACACTTAGGCTTGTATTTGGTACACTGTCATTTCCACCCATATCCCATTGGCCAAAGCAAGCCTCATAGCTGGGCCCAAAATCAAGTGAGGGGAATTACGCTCTGGCTCTGGTGAGAGGGACAATAAAATTACATGGCAAAGGGTGTGGAGATTGAGGTCAGTAATTCAAAGTACTGCACCTACTGTTGCTCTGAAGAATTTCACTCCTCAGCTGCATCCCCTCTGCTTCTGGGACCACTCTTCTTCCTCCCTAAGGTAAAAATAAAAATAAAAAATGAGCACAGACATTACAGATAGAAGGCAGCACTTTCTGGTTCAGATCTCATCATTGGACCTGATTCCTACTGTGGGATGAGAGTCTTTACTAACGATAGGCCAGAGTAGAAGTGATATGGGAAATCAGTTAATGATTTTTCCTTGTGTTCTTCTGTCAGAGAGATCAGATGTGATCTGAAAATGGAAATATATGTCAAGGAAGGCTGTCTGGCATTTGAGGTTTTTAGCTGTCTCTGCTCCATGGCACATGCCCTTGGTTCATTTTTAAAGTCGTGGAACTTATCAAGACTGACGTTGCTATTCTCTAGCCCCTTATCATCTAGAAACTCAATGCAGGAATCAAAAGCCATTGTTGGGTGTTAAGTTAGGTGATTAATAGCCACTCAGACCATATGCCACTTTAACCTTTCCATGCTTGGAAGGTGACAATTTTATATTATAAAGATGAAAGCCCAAGTCCTGCTGATCCCAGCAGGATGGCTTTGCACTTGAACTTGCATCTCAGCCCTCCTGTATTTACTGTAGGAGAATCAATATGCCCAGTGGATGGCTGCCTGCATTTTGGCATCGAAGGGCAAAACCATGGCAGATAGCTCCTACCAGCCGGAGGTCCTCAACATCCTTTCATTTCTGAGGATGAAAAACCGGAACTCGACATCTTCAGTGGCTTCCAGTCTCGAAAACATGGACATGAATCCGGAATGTTTTGTGTCACCTCGGTGTGCAAAAAAACACAAGTCTAAACAGGTACTGCTAATCCTGTTGGGCCAATGGTTTGCAATGAATTCTGTGTTTCCTGAAAATAAAATGAGGAATTGAAATGACTGAGGCCATCATCTTGAAAAATCAGTTGATGGGCAAATTTGACTATGGATGGGATATTAGGTGATATTAAGAAATTATTGTTAATTATGTTAGCGGTAACTGTACTGCTGAGTATAGCAATATGCCTTGATATAATTTAATTAAAAACAAAGTGATTTATTCCCTTTAAATTATGCTGCCATAATCATGGATTAAAAGTTAAACAGATACCCCCTAGCCAGTTTGGCTCAGTGGTTACAGCCTTGGCCTGAGGACTGAAGAGTCCCGGGTTCGATCCCAGCCAAGGGCACGGACCTTGGTTGCAGGCTAGACTCTGTTTGGGGCGTGTTTGTGAGGCAACCAATTGATGTGTTTCTCTCACCTCAGTGTTTCTCTCTCTCTCTCTCCCTTCCACTCTCTCTGAAAAGCAACGGGGGGAAAAATATCCTCAGGTGAGAATTAAAAAAAAAAAGTTAAACAGATAAACTGAGTCAAGTACGCCCATTGTCCATTGAAACACCACTACCCCAGAAAAAGGGACTCGGAACTGTCCGTCTGCATGAACCTTGGAAGCTATTGTGTTGGCTGATCTTGTTTCTGCTCCTGGTGATTTGCATGGGGGGGCGGGGGAGAATATGAATGAGAACGAATTGTCTTTGTAGAGCTGCAGGTGGGTCTTGGATTTATTTTTCTCAGAGGGGATCTGGAGCTGATGGGATGCTAAGGAGAGCTTGGTGTCTCTTGTTTCTGTTTAGCTGGCAGCCCGGATTATGGAAGCCCACCAGAACGTGGCCCAGATGTCCCTGGTTGAAGCCAAGCTGCGGTTCATTCAGGCGTGGCAGTCCCTACCTGAATTCGGCCTCACCTATTACCTTGTCAGGTGATTACAGGGCTCACTGGCCTCTCTCACCATCCTTTGAATTTTAAATGGCTTTCCTGGAGCCCAGTTTATTCTCACTTAGTCTAGAATGTAGTACTATTTTTATTTTAAAATACTGCCCTTTCACGGATAGCCCAAAACTTTGGGTTGCTCATAAAGATCTTCCATACCTCTGTCTGAAGTGCCGATACCCATGAATCCTAGCTAGGTGGGAAAGGAAATTTGGTTCTTTTGGGATAACAACATTTGCAAAACCAGAGAAAGAAATCACCTGTTGATTTTATGAAATCTATGACCTTAATGTCAAGTTCCCCCCACTGGAATATAAGCTTCCATAAAGTCAGGAATTTTCTATCCGTTTATCTCACTACTATCATCCCAGCGCCTAAAAGGGTTCCTGGCATATACAGATGGTGCTAATTTTTAATTAATTAATTTGACCCCCTCTTATTTTGCTTTCCTCTAATGTCAGTTTCCCTTAAAGAATGTCTTTGGATCAGCCTTAATTCTCTCCACTCATCATATTCTCTATAGCACAATAGAAATGCCCTTCTATAGAAAGTTAACACCTCATTATCCATTCTTCATACAGGATCTAGAAATATTGGTGTTATTTATCTTTAAGAAGTTGTAAGTTGTATGTGAATAAATACATTACAGGAAGCAGTTGCTTCTTTTAATTAAATTTTTTTTTTTTTTCAGATTTAAAGGAAGTAAGAAAGAAGACATTCTGGGAGTTTCATATAATAGACTGATTAGAATCGATGCAGCGACTGGGATTCCAATTACAACATGGAGATTCGCCAATATGAAACAATGGAATGTAAATTGGGAAATCCGGCAGGTAAAGTGAAAGTTTGGGGTATATTTGGTGTTAAGCCTGTAAATGTGCGCCCTCAAAATTGCAGTGTTCTGATTTTAAAGGCCATTCTTATATGTAGAACTCAGAAACCACAAGCTGTGGCCATTGTCTGCTAAAATAATCACACACAGTTCTGGGCAGTTTCCTAACATGTACAGACCAAAAATGCTTTTAAATTAACTCCACTAGTTGGCTTAGTCTCAATGCAGACTCTAAAATTGCTGAGCAGTTAATTTCCTTCAGCTCAGCATAGGATTATATAAGACTTAGGCCGATAATTACTTAGCAGAAACTACACTGGATATAACTGTCACCCAAAGTAAATCCAAAAAAGGCCTCCTCTGACTGGCTGCCAAAAGGTCTAACTGGTTGAGGACTCGGAGGCTCCACTGCCCACCTTGAGAGCGTCCCAGTCCCAAAAGGGAGAAACTGCCAGAGAAGCCAGTGAGGTGCACAGGGATGACTGAGAAAAGCTAAGCCTCGAGCATAGGAATCCTTGAACTCTCAGCACCCCATCATCTGCACCCAGGAAACTAAGTGCAGGCCAAGGCTACATCATGGGAAATTCTAGGTGGAGTTAGAGCACCTTAGCATCCTGCTGGTATGGAATCTCTCTTCCCTCCTTTCTGCATTTTTCCAGCAGAAAACCATCAATGTAGAGGCCTGGTAAGAGACTCATTTTTTTTTTTTTAGAGAGATGGAGGGAGGGAGGGACGGAGGGACGGAGGGACGGAGGGAGAAACATCAATTTGATGTTCCATTTATTTATGCACTCATTGGTTGCTTCTTGTATGTGCCCTGATGGAAGATACAGCCCAAAACCTTGGCATATCGGGACAATGCTCTAACCAACTGAGCTACCCAGGGGCAACTCACACTTTTTTTTTTAAGAACTGTGGACTCTTTTCAGCAGGGCTGCTAACCATCTGGGCACTCATTTGTAAAATGAAGGTCTGAGATTAGATGACTTCCAAGGGAGTGGTTCTAAAATCTTGTTGCGTATTAGGATCACCTGGGGAGTTTTAAAATCCCGCCACCCAGGCCATTCCCAAGACCAATTAAAGCTGGATGTCTAAGGGCGGTTTATGGGCATCAGTCATTTGCAAAGGGCCTTAGGTGACTGCAGTGGGCACCCCTAATGTCCGTTTCTTCTAGTGCTTAGTTTATGACTTTCAGCTGGGAAGGAGTGAGGGCCAGTGGCTGGAGGAAATCCTAGGTGGGTCCTTTATTCTCCAACAAAAAGTCTGTATGATACCCTAGACTTTGACACCGGGGGTGCTTAGAAAGTTCTACATCTAAACAAGAGACAGACGCTTTGCAGCAAAGCTGACACCACAAGAGGGCGCAGAGAGCTAAGACATGTTTTCTGAAGCCTTTCGTGGAAGTGGCGGGTGTTCTGTGGTTTTGGGAGAAGCCCACCTGTCAGCCACCCCTGCAGTCCTCAGCTCTGGGCCGCCTCCGGCACCGCAGCTTCGCTCTCCTCTTGCCTTGTCAGAGGTTAAGGTCGCCTGTGCCTCGTCTTCCAGGTGGCGATCGAGTTTGACCAGAACGTCTCCATTGCGTTCACCTGCCTGAGCGCCGATTGCAAGGTCGTGCACGAATATATCGGTGGCTACATCTTCCTGTCCACCCGCTCCAAGGACCAGAACGAAACACTCGACGAGGATCTGTTCCACAAGTTGACAGGCGGTCAGGAGTGAAGCCGAGCCGGCCTGCTGGGCCTACAGAGGGCGAGCCGAAGGCGGCCCTCCCCAGCCGGGGCCCAGGCTTGCAGTGCAGGTTCCAGACTGATGGACAGCCCATATTCACCGCCAGTCACCCAGATCCTTACCTCATTTCAAGCACACTGCCTAGCACCCCTCCCCCTTTGCTTACTTTGCCCTGTGCTACCAGCAGTGGAAGGAGCCTCAGTTGCCTTTTCTATAAAATGGGAGGGCAGGAGAAAGATAGTGCTTTAAGACCACTCTAAGGCCCAGCATACAGGTTCAGTTCTGTGACCTACAGAACCTGCAAGTGAATGGCTAGAAGTTGTTCCTGTGCTTACCTGCTTTGTTACAAGCTTTAAAAGCACGTGTAGCAAGGACAAATCTTACTCCACAAACTCAGATATGAAAAGAGAGGTCTTTCCTTAACAGAACAGCTTTTAGCTCCCATCTTGTGGAAATGGTGGAGGGAAACCACACACATTTCCCATGAAGGCCAAAGTCTAGGGGTGGAGAGAGGAGAGGTGGGATTTCCTGATACCAGTTGACAAGGGGTCAAAGCAGTGGACCTCAATGTCGTCGGTCCACAGTGACTTCTGCCAAGGTGACCACTGACCCATCTGGTTTGGACATTGGTCCTCTCAGGTTACTAGTCCCACAAGTCCCATTCCATTCTGGGGATCCCTCAACCACCTTTATGTCCTTGGTGACATGGGTACAGGGAACCTACTCCTCAACTCAGCCCCATGTCTCCACTACTTCTACTCTGGGATGGGGCACAGTCCCCATTCTCTGTTCATAAAACCACCTCCCCACATCCAGGCTTCCAGTGAGGTCCCCATCCCAACGGGTCACAAAGAGAAGGACAGGACATGGGCCAGGCCCATTGGCTTCCATCCACACAGACCTTGTCTGGTCTGGGGGGCAGGGAAGCCTCACTCTTACCACTCATCAGTGTTACTCTGGATTTGTGTCTATTCTTATGATTCTGGCCTTTCCCCTTACAGGCCTTGGCTTTCACAAATCAAAAGCCAATCACAGTCTTTTCTCCCTGCCTTAAGACATGAGTGTGGGCCAATGAATAGCTGCTTCTGTTGTCATTTTCTGTTTTGGTTTGTCAGCACTGGAGGGAATGGGTCTTGAGAAGGTAAAGCAAAACCAGGAGGAGAGGAAAATATCAAATAGTATTTTAATTGTTTTTGGAGTTTCTCTAAGGTACAAATTTCAGGGGGCCTGGCCAGAGCTCAGATGCTGGTAAACATCAGCTAGTTGTTGCTTTATTTCCCAGCACAACCTTTTGAGAAGAGAGATCTCCAGGATTCCTGGAGCCACAATGGGACAGCCTTAGATAGGGACCCCTAGGCCCTGCCTGAGTCAGAAGCATCACTGGAAGTTTTTCTCTCAGCCTCTCTCAGAGGCGAGTGTTAATGAACACTCCCCTGGCACCTGGTGAACCTCCGAGGCCTACCTGTCAAGCTCGGAGGTGGCTTAGGCACTTGGAAAATCTGGTCCATGTCATAAAGAACTTCATTTGAAATGTTTTATGTAGAAACTATACTGGGTTAAACTTAGTATTGGTCATTACTATAGAGTTCTGGGCTCTATTATTTTAGAACCTAGTCAGGTCTTTAAGATCATGTTGGGCCCTACATTAAAATAATGCTCCTCGATGTGACATTTCACCTGTCTGCTGCCACGTTCAGCTCTGCATAACTTACCAAAGGCACACCTCAGTACAACCCTCCTCCTTAGCTTTTCAGGGTTATCTGACATTTCCATGGAAATGCTCAGAGGAGTAGACTGGTTTTAACCAAACTTTCAGGGAACGTTTCTCCCATAACTACACAGCCACGTCCCAAAGAAATAAACAGTGTGGCACAAAAACCCTAAAAACTGCTGCTACTCCAAAGAGCAGCCTGAGGATGCTTTTCTACTTTGGGCACAAAAGGTCGTCTGACTACTTATGATGAAATTTTTAATTAATGTGTGCCTTTCAACCCCATTTGTCTTATCTACACTACACTGGGAAATCTGCCTTTTTATTATTTTTATGACTTTTTTAATTAAATGGTTTATATGGATTTGAGTATGGTCTAGTGTGTTCTCTCCAGTCTGCTGTCTCTAATAAAGTGAATATTTTTCTATTATGAAAAAGGATTGCAACATGCAGGTTTAACGTGTGGTTTTCCTCACAATTCTGAGATCTGAGCTTGTTCTCCCCAGTGAGCCTGACCCTGAAACCTGTTGGTTTCAACTCCTTTCACATTGACCTTCACCAGATTCCCTGACATATTGTGGGCTCTTCTGTTCCAGGCCTACCGTTTGGGAAAAGCACCAGAGAGCAAGGGAATATCCAGAGGCAGAGGAGCATGAGAGAGTCTCTGATTTGATGGCCAAATGTCAAGGGCATTTCTTTGATTATTGATAGATGGTCATGTACTTCTTCATGCAATTCTCACATGAACCCATAGGGGGCAGAAACGGTTTGCCTTCTCATTTCACAAAGGAGAGAACCATCTCAAGCAGGTGGGAGGGGGGTTGGTGGATTGTGGGGAAAAGGTGAAGGGATTAAGAAATACAAATTGGCAGTTACAAAACAGTCATGGGAATGTAAAGTACAGCATAGGGAATATAGTCAATAATATAACAACTGCATGATGTCAGGGGGATACCACACTTAATGGGGGGGGGGAGTTACTTCATAAGTTATATCTCTAACCAGTATGCTGTACACCTAAAACTAAGAAAATGTTGAATGTCAACTGTAATTGGAAAAAAAATAGAAAAAGTGAAGGAACTTTACCCAAGGTAACACCACCAGTAAGCAGGGGAACCAACTCAAAGCCAGGTCTGTCTTAACTCCAAAGACCTTGAAGCTTAAACCAGAAAACCCCACCCATCCATTTCTAGTGCTGCTCAGCCTTGCAATGCCTGGCCCGGCCTCCCTTGCCCTGATCCCAGCCTGAGGCCCACCCAGACCTTCTGAATCAGACCCTGCATTTTAATAAGACCCTCGGGTGATCTGTCTACACAGTAAAGTTTGCAAAGCTCTAGCCTAAGACGTGTGGCATAGATTTGGCAGGGAGGACCACAAACACTGGAGGAACTGTCAAGTGAGAGTGTAAGTGCCAGAAACTCTGTAAGCCAGTGTACTGGGTTGACTAGTGCCCCCCAAAACTTCATGTCCACCCAGAACCTGTGAATGTGACCTTTTTTGGAAATATGGTCTTCACAGATGTAATCAAGTTAAGATGAAGTCATACTAAATTGGGGTGAGCCCTAATCCAACATGACTGGTGTTCTTATAAGAAGAGGAAAGGAGGCACAGAGATGGGGAGAAAGAAGGCCACGTGATAATGGAGGCAGAGATTAGAGTGATGCGGCTGCAAACCAAGGGATGCTGGCAACCACCAGAAGCTAGAAAGAGGCCAGGAAGGCTTCTTCCCGAGAGCCTTCAGAGAGAGCACGGTCCTGCCGACACCTTGATTTCAGACTTCTAGATTCCAGAATGGAGAGAAAGTCAATTTCTGTTTGAAGCCACCAGGCTTGTGGTAATTTGCTATGGCAGTTTTAGGGAAATAATGCAGCCAGTATTTTCACATCTTTAAAAGCGGGAATGCTGCCTTCCCCACCATGTCACTGGGCTATTGGAAAGAGTATGTAAGAGAGTGATACAAAGATGTTTTTAAAACTCTAAAATGCAATACAAATGTAAAGTATTTTTATGTTTAATGAGAACATTTTTTTCAATTATGAAAGTGTTTTTTGTAGTTGTTTTCAAATAAGTATGATAGTTTGTGTGATAGTTGGATTACTGTTTGGGGCAGGTTGATGGGCTGCCAAAGTACTCAAATACGACCCAGGGGCAAAAAGGATAACAAGAGGTTAAATGACTATGCCAACCAATGTTAGAGCAAACGAAATCAGGCTTCCGCCTCCCCAAAGAGCAGTCTTAACAATAATGGAGCTTATGTTGCATGGCTAAAAGAATTAGAACGCTAACATGTATTAAGGTCTGTCACTTGTGCTTCCCATGAGTTCTCTCAACTCAACCTGTGGGTGAGGTAGGTATCAGCACCACTGTACAAATTAGGAAAGTGCAGTGGTGCTGGTTAATGTTTCATACTCCATGGGTGAAAGGGAGCCCCAATTTGCCAATTGCCCTGGTGTAAATACTCCTACCACAGCCAACATGACATCAGTGAACACAGAATCAGAAAGAGAGTAAAACACCCAGCTCTCTGACAGGGACAAGACAGCTTTTGCACACACCGGAACCGTACACAGAATAATCAACAATTTATCAAGGTCACCCAGCTAGAATGTGGGAAGGGAGGATTTGAACTTAGACCTTTTGACCTGAGCTATGCCCTTTAGCACTACCCTTGATATTCCCATGTGAACGGCAAGGCCTCTTGAGCCAAGAGCCCTAGGTTGTCTTTACTTGTGGTAATACCCCTGAGGTGATTTTTCCCAGAACATATTTGGGTAAGGATTACCGAACCTCCATAGACCTTTTTTCCTCCAATTATATTACACCAGATTTCAAATGCCAAAAGAGTGAAAATTTCTACCAAAATCTTCAGCTCCCAACTTCTGGCCCACTTGTCCAGTATGACATTGATTGCAAATCTGGGTCAGAGGTGGAGTCAGGAGGGGAGGAAAGCAGTCTGCATTCTTCCAAACAGAGCAAACACCAGCCAGTGGCCGGAGACAACGGCATTCACCCTCATTCCCATGACTGGTTGGCCTCGGTCTTGCCATTGCATAAATGATTAATGTCAAGTCTACCACAGAGAGGTGACTTTTCCTCAAGGACTAAGCTCCGTTTTTAGACGCTGGGTGAAATGTTCTTATTCTGACCTTTCTCTCACTTTATAAATGATCCTTTGAATCAGGTAGACATTGTCAACTCATGGTCCAGCATGGCTGCCTTAGCTCCAGGCATTATATCACATGGCTTCAATTAACTACAAGGGAGGTTGAAATATGTGGTCCTCATTCAAAGTAGCCATGGGCTCAACTAACAATCAGATTCTTTTTGTGATAAAGAAAGTGAGAATAAATACTGGGACACAAGCAGCTCCCTCAGTCGTAAGCACTTGCTATGTGCCAGGCATTATGTTTGCTGCTAAGAATAATATACTGAACAGAGCTTATAATCTAGCAAGAGACAGGCATCTAAGCAAACAATTCTATAATGCTGTATAATAAGTATTATTCTTGATATATAAAAAAGACATATGAGAACAAAAAAAAAGAGGGGAAAATTTATTTTGTTAGAATCAGGAGCAAATTAGAAAGGATTTCCCAGAAGAGGGGACATTTAAGCTTGGCCTTGAAGGATGTGTAAGAGTTTGCCAAGTGGGAAAAGAACAGGAATTAGGTCAAGCTTGGCAGGGGGGCCAATTAGTAGAGAGGGAGAGAGAGCCATGAGATGCCATGATCAGATGTGCATTTTAGAAATGTAAGCCGGGCAGCTGATGGCGGGGAGATGGAGGGAAGGTGCACTGGAAGTTGGATGGTCAGTTTAGAGGCTGCTGTGGCAGCTGAGTTAAAAGACTTGAGGACTGGAGCCAAGTCAGTGGGAAGAGAGGCAGGGCAACTGGAGAGCTGCCTTAGAACGAGACTCATCAGATTTTGTGATAGTGGCCAAAGCTATTATTTACCTACCCAAACCATCTCCCTTCTTCCTTGCAAAAAGAACTTGATTTTGGCCCCAGTGATGGATCATTAATGGTCTACACCAATCATGACAACCCTATTCCCCAATATCCCACGTCCTTGGCAGGTAGCAGTGGCCTTGTGACCCAGTTTTGACCAATGAGGCCTAAGGGGAAGGATGCTATGAAGATTTCTGGGAAATTTTTTTCTATCCTGATAAAAACGATATGCTTCATCTTTCCCCTTCTGCATACTTTCTGCCTTGAATGTGGATGCGATGCCTGGAGGTACAGCAGCCAATCACGCCTGACATGATGTGATTCTATGGAGTATGTGTGGGTGCTGCTCAGAACATCCTGAGAACTCCCCTTGGGAAATTCTTAGCAAAGCCTGATTCTTGTTGTTTTGAATATCCTTACTATTCATGAATCTTCATTACTTTCACAGCGATTCAATTTTTTGGAAATATCCAAGGCTAAATACAGTGAGTTATGGGATTGGGATAAATAAACTCTTTTGGTAAATGATTTTAAAGGAAAAAGTAACCCTGGTGATTGGGTGTGTGTGTGTGTGTGTGTGTGTGTGTGTGTGTGTGTGCACCATAAACTCTTTCTGAAAGCAATTCCAGAACAAGAATTACAAACATATTTTCAACACTGAAAGTTTCGTTTGCAAAGGAGATAACCTACCAAGGAACTTTGCTCAATACCAACTCTTGCCAGATAATTTTTTGTAAATTACTTTCAGAAGTTGGTGATTCAAATGGTTCTCAAGAAAAATATACAGGCTATTTTCCATGTTCTCAATACTCCTAAAAAAGGAAATGGTCTCAGAGTTCTTATCTTGGATTCTTCCTCAGATTTACTTTTATGAAACTAATCCTAGTTCTTCCAGAAATAAACTGGAAATATAACACCATGTGCCTCCACCCTCCTAAAAGGAGCATGGTGGACAAGAATCGGCCAGCAATGTCCTAGAATTTGGAGTATCTCTCATAGGTTCCATAAATACCATGTATTAATAATCATCAAGAAAGCAATTTTGTTGTTCATATATTATTAAGGATTAATAATCATGTACTCATAATCTATGTTATTTTCAGTAATAACAGAAAGCCATATTGTTAAAATCTACCTTTCAAAACAACACTTAACATTGCAACTCTCTGAAATCACTCCGTTGCACCTCCTTTCCTTCTCCAGCCCCCTCAGCACCTACCCGTGCTGATGAGCTCTCCTGTACATTACTGAGCACAGTGAAGTCATCAGACGGGAAGAGTCTCATCTTTTCACTCTGCATCTGTCCTCACAATGTCTATCTTCCCTCCTGCCCCAGTGAGAAAAGTGCCCAATCTCCAGCCTTCTGAGTTCTGTCCCTTGTGACCTCCACAGGGCTTCAGTCCTAGAGTTTATTCTTCTCTCT